GTGTTGTGACGTATGTTTTAGTCGTGCTGGCAGTCTTGAGTGGAACCTTGGAGTGATAGGATGTTTATTATATTTACTTAGATATTAAAGTTATAGTTATTATGAAAAGGAGTTGAGTTTGTTAATTGATAGTTAGAATAGTACGACGCTTCAACGTATGAAAGAACTGACGAATGTAATCAATCCAGAAGACGTTAGGAGTTGACAGTCCTCGCTAAGAATTGAAAGATTTTGTTTCGTTCCCAGGAGGATATCATCATCATCGACATTAAGCTCGTTTTCATCAATGTATGTGTTTAGCTGTGGAAATTGGGGGGAGGGGGGTCATGTTTTTCTCCTCTATCTTATCGCACGCTTTATTTTACGAGTTTCCTTTTGAAAGCTGTCGTATTTTCAAGAGAATCGAGCACTGAGATCTGACCTCGATGAAGGTCCAATTTGATTGACTCTCAGAATCAAATATAATATATGTTGACAAAAAGTGACAGAGAATTTTTATTTCACGTCTGGTTTTAGCGTCTTGCAAAAATTGTTGGATTTCTTCATGTAGTATGATATTAGCCTACCGATGATATTTCTTTTTTCTTATGACTGATGGCTTTCAGATTAGCAGATCTTTTTATTGCACTTTCTATTTTTCTTCCATGGCGCCCACAAGATATGAAATTTTTCTCTTTTTTTTGGGGGGGGGGGGTGTGGGGGGAGATCACCGATGGCACCCTAAGCACACGGCGCCCCAAGTTGCTGGTACCTTAAGCCGGCACTGGGTTTGTAACATATTTTGATAAAGTCCATCGGGCTCAGCTTCCAACTCTGACATTCTCACAAGTATCTCCCATTGAACATGTTCATGACGTTCTACATTTACCACACACACTATCCGTCTCTCACGATGAGAGTCAAAAGTCTGCTACTTAGTTGTGCTTTTTGTTTTTGTTTCGTTAAGGGCCACCAATCGTCCCTGTGATCAGAGACGAGCAGTTCCCACGTACTTTCTTCTAGACTAGCTGATGCCAACGGATCGTTGGGCTGCGTGGTCTCTGTAAAGCTCTTCTACCCCCAACCCCCCTCCCTCATTTCTCGATTTCGCTTTCAATGGTACAGTTCAGCATGGAAGATAGCCTCGGGAGATTGTCTTCCAAACGAGTGCGATGCCTTGCCCAAATCATCTGTAAAAAATGAATATGGCTTTGGTGCTCTCCATACTCTCTTATCACCAAACCTCATCAATTGCTATATGTAATCCGTGCCATCTTATGTCCGCAAGAAAAATACTACATTGCCATTTTTTAAAATCCCCTTCTTAATGCTATATTTGCAGGTCGCTACCGTGGGAAAAGATTTCCATTTAAAGGGAAACTTCCCTGGCCAACCACGTGACACTTGTAGAGGCTGGTGTCCAGTCTGCTATGCCTGTAGGAACAAGGGAGCCCCGAATCGAAAATCTCTATACACCGAGGGTGACCTGGTCTTGACTGGTCTATTCCCGATCCGCTCCGCCGGGACGGCTCCGTTTCAGTGTGGCCAAGTCAGCCTTGACGTTCCTAAGTCCCAGATCATATCGGCCTTCATGTATGCACTGGACACGGCTAAATTCAGATACCCGGATCTGCTGCCGGGGATAGACATAGGTGGCCTCGTTTTGGATACGTGCTCAGACTCGAACATGGCGGTCAAAACGCTCATGGATTTTGAAACGTGTTCTTCCACATTCGGAAACGCGGGCCTTTTTTACGAAACATCAAACCTCGGTGATGAACTAGTCGATGATCCATCTCAGTTCGCCAACTCTGTCCAGAATGTCGGCTACGTCATTGACAGCAGTCACGCGAATGATGACATCACGAAAACAGTCTTACAGAGTACGGGTGAAAAACCTGCCGTCTTTTTAAACAGTAAACTCAACAAGGATTCTCAACTTCAGAAAGAAACGACTCAAGCAGCCGCGGCCATCACTGAAATATTGTCGTCCTTGGAAGAGACGCGAGTAGTCATTGTCTATGAGGATACGTCACGGTACCAAAACGACGCCCATAGAATGTTGGCGTTGTTTCGTCGTGAGGGTTTGTGCACCGTGGCGTTGCTTGGACTCAACGCGTCTGACACTTGGACGTTGGAACCAACTTTGGCCAGCCACGCTGGACTTCCAGCAGTCCTCATCTCCAGCAAGATTACAGCCAGCGATTTGTTCAAGATGAGAAAAAAACAGATTTCACATTTTTGGATTATTCCAGTACTCGCCGATGAAACCTGGACGGTCAGCGGAGAACTGTTTTATCCCATGGGATCGATTATTATTGATTGGGAATCGAAGTCGGACAGAGGCTTCCAATCGTTTCTACGAGAGGATTCATTTCCCCACAAGACGAAGCCGGCGTGGTATCGAGATCTCTGGGGAATGCAGAATTCTTGTTTCTCTAAAAACGATACCATTCATGAACCGACGAGGAATCGTGAATGTTCTACACACTCGATTCCAGCTGATATCGAAGACATTTCATCCGATATTTCCAACGTCATCATATCCGTAGACGCCATTCTGCACGCGCTCCACGGTCAGTATACGAAGAGCTGTCCACAAGCAAGCGGCATCTGCCAAAAGTTTGCAGAGGACATTGTCAGTTGGCGGCTGTCACGTATGGGCAACCTGACATTCTTGTATCAGGGGCAACAACTTGAATATGTCAATGAAGGGGAGATTATTTCTACGCTGTCTGTCTTCAACATACAAAAGAGTGGAGCTATTGAGGTAAGAAATGTTGCTACAATACGATTGATACTAAATATGCGATGACCTAAATTTAATTGAACTATTTTTCATGGAATATTTATCTATTTTGTGCCCAGAGAAATGTTAAAAATAGTATCCAATTTAACTTTCTTTTTCATGTAACTGTCGGCCATGTAACTTCCTTTTACAATGTAAATATGTTCCCACTTGCCGTATTATCTGTGTCCATTAAAGATTAAAATGATTTGATTGAATTCTTTCAGATTGGCAGATATTTTAAAGGACACTTAACTCTTAACAAGACGAAACATCACTTCCCTCCAAGTTACGTCCCTTCACCCGACTGTGGCTCCTCCTCGTGCAGCTGCATCGACGTGATCACAGACAACCGATCGACACCGGGTGACCCCGATGCGGCTCTGTACGCGAGCAGTCAGGGGGAGATCATCTATGAAATTTGGACGATCTCCGTCTTCTGCGCCGCTGCATCTGGCGCACTGGTGTCCTTCTCGTTCTCCATATACGTCATGTACAAAATCTGCATCGGTGCCCTGGGCAGGCATTACATCGGCCTTGGCCTGACCTTGTTGTTTGCCCTGATGTCATTGTACTCGTCCGTCCTGCCTTACATGTTCACCCCGAGTGAGGCCGTCTGCAGCCTCCGATACTTCTGGCCCGGGGCCGCCTACGCATTTTGTTTCGCGGTTATATTCGTTAAACTGATGACTCTCCAAAACTACAAGCTCATCGGGCTGGGAGGGGAGGTGTCTGGGATAAACCAGTTCGCCTCGGTTTTTTTCGTGACGATTGTCCAAGTGGCCAGCAGTGTGCAGTGGTGGATCTATCACACCCCGTCGGTCCGCGCCACAACACACCAATCCGGGATTGTGAAATTCGCCTGCAACTTCAACAAATCGGAATTTTCGCTGTATCTCATGTATGTGATGTTTCTCATGCTGCTGTGTGCGGTCTACGGCATAGGGGTACGAAACGAAAAGAAGAACACGGGCGAAGCCAAACTTCTGATGACCACGAGCTGGGTCTGCTCGGCAGTCTGGGTCGCGTGGCTCCTCTGCCTTTTTCAGATGGACCGGAAATGGTCTGACGCCATCATCTGCGCGGGCATCGTGACAAGCGCGACGGTCGTCCTGCTGGTCGTGTTCCTCCCCAAGCTGCGGATGGTGTCTCGCCTAAAGTATGATCTGTCTCAGAAAACGCACCCACGTAATGGTTGTAGTGTAGATACAGATTTCCTTTACGAGAGACCCCATTCCCTGCCCGGTACCTTAACCAGCACTTTCTCCTCAGGGAAGATGAACTATCCAAAGTCTTTGACAAATTTTGATGCTGAAGTGAACAGTGCCATTACTTAGTTTTAAAAATAAATCATGCACGCGAAGGTGCGCATGGATTTAGTGTTTCTCTCGATGCCTTGATTACAAAACTTGCATGAGGGCACACAGACTTGAATAAAACCGACTTTGGTTTTTGACATGTTAAAAAAAAAAAATCAGCTTAAATAATGAACATTTCACTAACAATGACGTGTCGTACTCTCTACGCTGAGCACCACGCATCTGTCTCCATCCACTTCCGGCTTTAAAAAAAAAATTGCTTAGTTCTGATAGTCACGTGATGTGTCTCGACAAAAGGATATGATAAGTCTCACATGCTTATACAATTTCCGTTGTGCGGTTATCAAGCACGATTTATTCATTTATTTTTAATGTTATGCCGCAAAAAAAAACACAAAAAAAACAAAGAAAAAAAAACCTCACCATTGCCAGGGTAAGTGTGAATTAAATATGAAACAACATGCGCCCGGTTTATTCAGGATGTCGAGGTTCATGTCGTCCCGAGTGATCGGATGGAGCTGGTTCGCACCGGTTTTGCAGAACCGATATGCCGAACCAACAACTCATTTTGTGTGGGGCTGAGTTTGGTGGAAAAATTTGGTTCAACTAGCACTTGTAGTCACCGCTGTCTCCATCAAGAAGCAGCATGGTCGGGTGTTCATTTTTTTAATTTAAGAAATCCAGTTGTTTTTTTGCATCTACTTAAAAAAAAAAGAAAAGAAAATTAAGTTCTAACTGCGTGAAAATGAATTGATGAACTACAGTTCGTTTTTTTTTGGTTTTTTGTTTTTAAATCTGAAAACGACCGTATGGGCAGCTAACCGGTTGTTGAACTTAGTTAAATGCACCGATTCTCATCCCCCCACTTTAAAAATGTAGGGAGTTATCATTTTATCCTATTTTATCTCCACCAACAATTATTATTCTTGCATTATCCATCTCCACATCCTAGTTTTATCTTTATTATTCTTTCACATTTTTAAACAAAATTTATTTCTCTTGCTTTATGGATTACCTGAAAGCATAATAATGCATATGTGGTCGAACTACGAAGCAGTGAACTTATGGAACGCCTCAATTTCTTTGTTTCCATGTTTTCTACGGCTTCTCGAGTGGCTATTTATAGCTAATGTGTTCTCTGTAAAGACCCTTATCACCAGCCCTTCTTGTCTCCAACCCATTATCACATTCTCCCCTCCTCGTCACCCCTTATCACTACCCCATCCTTTTCTCTCATTATCCCCCCCCCATCACCAACCCCCCCCCCAAATCAACCCCTTTATCACCAGTCCCATCTCCAACCCCTGTATCCCTACCCCTATCACCACCCTCCTTATCACCACCCCTTTATCACCTACCCTCCCCCTTATCACCCATTGCTTGTTATCACGCCTGGCCATTAAAAAAAAAATCACCCACCACACTCACCACACCCACCACACTCACCACACCCACCACACCCACCATCCAATTAACGCATTTATGACAACTTTGGTTCCGTGCACATTCTTCTTCTTCTTTATTTTAAGGGCCCACGATCAATGAATTGATCATTCTGGCTCCTATGTTTCAGAGAGGTTTGCGATGTTACTGTCCATGGGTTTCAATGGGATACTTCACTGGTTGCAAGGGCGACTCAGCAGTGGTGTTATGAACTGGGGGTTGGAATACAGGAGGCAATAGACACAAATGTATCGAGTGTAGCCGCCTCAACTGTTGCTTTTGGAAGCTTGTTCCAGTCCCCTATTGTCTTCGGCAGGAATGAGGAGCTTCTGTACTTCGTTCTTGTTTTTACCAGCCGGAACTGTTTGTCGTGACTTCGTCGCAGTCTGGGGGGAAGATTAACGAGTTTCTGTTTGATTCCGGAGCAGTGCACCAGTCCATTTGTTATCTTGTACAACATGGTGAGCCTGGATAGTCGTCGTCGTTCTTCCAATGTCGACCAGCCCAGTGTTTCCAGCATGCTGCCAACACTCGAGGTGCTTCTGTAGCGGTTCATGACAAAGCGTGCTGCCCGTCGCTGGACCGCCTCCAACCTGTCTATGCTTTTCTGGGTAAATGGGTCCCAGACTGTAGAAGCATACTCTAAAATAGGTCGGACAAAGGCTTTATAGGCTTTTTCTTTCACGCTTGAGTTGCCGATCTTCAGATTGCGCCTTAGGAACCCCAGGGTCTTGTTTGCCCGGTTGCACACACTGTTAATGTGCTCGTCCCAGCGGACCTCTCTTTGGATGGTAACACCCAAGTACTTAACGGAGGAAACTGGCTCAAGAATATGGCCATGCAGTTCGTAAGAGTGGTTTAGAGGGAACCTGCTTCTGGAGACTGACAGGGTTTGGCACTTGACGGGATGAAATTCCATGTCCCAGCTTATCTCCCACTCAGCTAACCGATTGAGGTCTTGTTGAAGCTGGCTCTGGTCAGAGCTGTTGACCATTGTCCTATATACCGCCGTGTCGTCTGCGAACAGTCTTGCTTGAGAGGTCAGCTTTTTAACATTTAACCATAACACAAAATATGACACTTTCACCAACCCACCTACCCCAAAGAACATTATATAACTTCCCATTGATACCCACCACCCTTAATATTATATAACATTTCTAGCGTTATAGTTATAGCAAAGTTTCACTGTACAAAATATGACACTTTCACCAACCCACCTACCCCAAAGAACATTATATAACTTCCCATTGATACCCACCACCCTTAATATTATATAACATCTCTAGCGTTATAGTTATAGCAAAGTTTCACTGTACAAAATATGACACTTTCACCAACCCACCTACCCCAAAGAACATTATATAACTTCCCATTGATACCCACCACCCTTAATATTATATAACAACCCTAGCGTTATAGTTATAGCAAAGTTTCACTGTACAAAATATGACACTTTCACCAACCCACCTATCCCAAAGAACATTATATAACTTCCCATTGATACCCACCACCCTTAATATTATATAACATCTCTAGCGTTATAGTTATAGCAAAGTTTCACTGTACAAAATATGACACTTTCACCAACCCACCTATCCCAAAGAACATTATATAACTTCCCATTGATACCCACCACCCTTAATATTATATAACATCTCTAGCGTTATAGTTATAGCAAAGTTTCACTGTACAAAATATGACACTTTCACCAACCCACCTATCCCAAAGAACATTATATAACTTCCCATTGATACCCACCACCCTTAATATTATATAACATCTCTAGCGTTATAGTTATAGCAAAGTTTCACTGTACAAAATATGACACTTTCACCAACCCACCTATCCCAAAGAACATTATATAACTTCCCATTGATACCCACCACCCTTAATATTATATAACATCTCTAGCGTTATAGTTATAGCAAAGTTTCACTGTACAAAATATGACACTTTCACCAACCCACCTACCCCAAAGAACATTATATAACTTCCCATTGATACCCACCACCCTTAATATTATATAACATTTCTAGCGTTATAGTTATAGCAAAGTTTCACTGTACAAAATATATATATATTTTTTGTTTACCTATATACATCAGACTCAAAGCCAGCCGACCAAGAGACCGACCGTGACCGCTTGGATCAATTCATAATGGTAGTCTCCAGACTTGAATGCTCTGTGTTCATATCGTTCGGGGTCAGCCCCAGCTATTGGGCTATTGGCTCCAATGCCTTGCGTTGAACGTCCCGGAAGCGGTACAACACTTCAAAAGAAGCCCTTAATGACAAGCCCGCATATACTCTACAGTTATGATGTAGGAATGAAAATAATTTTGTGGCTGGGGGTCGCCACATCATGAGGAGCTGTATTAAAGGGTCGCGGCATTAGGTAGGTTGAGAACCACTGCGTTAAACCATCAAGGCAGCTACTCTTGTGGAGCAGGAGGAATTCCAGTGTAAAATCCTCAGCCATCGAGAAAGGAAAAAATCAGCCATGATTTGAAATTCGCAGTTGAAAAAGGGTTGTATTCTTAAGTCCTGGGGGCCAACAAACCTCTTGGAGGATCTGCAGTGGCCCTCCTTGTAGTAACCCCACTGACTAGACGTGATTCTAAAGCATCGTTTGGCTGGCACGTGTGGGGCAAAACTCTGGCGTGTCAAATAAGTTCAGCTTCCGCGCGAATGATTTAAGAAAACCGGGATGATTGCGGACAGCGGCGTATTCAGAGTCTTGAAAACCAGGCCTAGCCCCCCCCCCCCCCCCCCCCCCCCCCCCCCCCCCCCCCCCCCCC